CTACAAGCTGTGTCGCATATCTACGCTAGAATTGTAGTGGCGAATATTGAGAGCGCGTTCGAGGACGAGAGGCAAAACGCGCGGCAGGTAATAACTGCGGGCGTGCTTTCACACAGCGGGACCACATGACCGCCACCGACGTAGGGCAGCTGGCCTTCGCGAGCATCGTTCGACGCCTCATGCCCTGGACGGCTGCTGTTACCATGCTGCTCGTGCTGCGAATAGCACCCTGCTCGAAGATTACAGTAACTCCTGGTACTCAACTCTCGGAGTCCGGACAGAGCAGCGATGTGCTGGTCAGTGACTGAGTCAGTGACTAGTCACAAGTCAGTCTGACTGTGACTGAGACCGAGCGGTCACCGGGTCTTCATCACGGGAAGGGCTACTGTCCAATCAGCATTCAGAACTCCATCACACCGACGATCCCACGGGTACCGCTCGGTCACTGACTATGGTCCGGTACTGGTCATGTTCGGTCAGTGACCGCAGTCTCCTTGCGTCACGTGCACGAGCAGCGCACAAGCGCTCACAGCAAACGGTGGGTCTGGACCGTGAGGGGCAGAGGGAATATGACATGGTGCCTGAAGCCATCCTTTTCGAACCTTTTCGAACGTCAATATATACTCTCTGCGCTTTAGAAAAGTTCTCGCTCCTCTTACTCTCCACCTCGTCTGCCCATCCACCTCGACGAACCCTCCAGCCGAGCAAGATCACGACTATTTGCCACTAATCATTCACATATCACTGTACACAAAAGTTACGAATGCGAGTCATGGAAAATGGGGACAGAAGGGAGTAGATGTTGAGAGGTCTGCGTAGAGATGTCTGGCATTAAATACAGCAGGGGTGGGGTAATATGCTAGGAGGTACGCAGCATATAATCGTCGTCATAACATCAGATACGAGGTGAAGAACCGCATGAAAATACCCGCGGGGTAGCCAGCAAAACACGAGATGAAGATGGTCGGTTAATAGGTGAGCAAGGTGGGGGCCCGTAGGTGAGTGTGCCGCTCGGCGCTGCACGACGGCGACAACGCCGTCCGTCGCTGACAGATCATCTTCAGATTTGGCGTGCTTTAGGCCGCTGTATCCATCGACTGCGTCTGCCCGTTTGTCCTCTGCATGTCGCTCTTTCTCCTCGATGGTTTAGCGATCATCCGACCCCGACCACGCTCCTCAGAAACCCGGATCGACTCCGTCCACAGCTTGAGCGTGTAGTCGTGCAACGATTTCGCGTACAGCACGAATGGATCAGCTTCGCCGATGTGCTGGCTTGGGTACATGTCGGGCGAAATGCGCTTATGCTACATGGAACGGACGGTCGTCAGAAGAACTGGAACATGGTAAGAGCGGGTAATATGTAACAGACCTAGGAAGACGTAGGACGGAAATTCAGGACAGGTGCGTGCTAGGTTGTGCTCGGGGTACGTTACAGGTTGATTCCTGCAGCTGTGAACGACGAGTACGAGTTGGTGGCAGTTTGTCTAGAGAGCACCCTCAAAGCTGTGGCAAGGTTTTTAGGCGGTCACGCGTCGGAACCCTGAGTGACTGGGTCAGGTTGGAAAGGAGCTCAAAGCTTCGCCACCTCCACTTGTCGGCATTCATCTGCCATCTCCCGTTGCCCTCAGTTCTTCGCACCCAAGCCACGGGACGGCTCTACACCTTCGGAAATTGATAACGGCATCCGCTGGTATTGATTCGTTGATCGTGCACGTCATGTTTTCTCCACGCGCAGTGCGTTTCCATTGGCCGCGGACTTCGCACCTCTGCCTCTCTCCTTCCTCAGGTATCCATCTCCCCCGACCAGACGGCTCTGCAAGCTTTAACTGTACCATCCCCTCTCTCGCCGGAGCCCATTTTCCGTTCATAGCAATCCCTGCCAAATTCGAGGATCCAAGCTCGCACTGAGTACCACAGGCGCCCCACTGCTCCACTGCCGTCTGCCGTCTAGCCGCTTTTGTGCAAATTTCGGGGGACCTTCGTCTCAGACTCTGTCGCCGCCTACCGTCGGGCTTCTCGCCGTTTGCGGAGCCACCCTTATACCTCGGTAAATATGCACGCGCGCATTAGGAGTGGTCCCCCCAGCAACACGCCTGTTTGGTTTTCCAAGCATTTTCGCGTTGGCAGGGGAGGCAAGGCTATTCTCGAGGGAAGCGCCACGGTCCGAGAGTCCCCACGTGCACGGCAGGTTGATCGCGCAACCTTGTTCTCCTCCGAGCGCCACAAGGCTCGGCGCAAAGACTTTGACGTTGCGCCGTCCGCGGTTATCAGCTACGGGCGCAACAGGCTGCGGCTGCGTCGGTTCTCTCTACGACTCCGTTGCACGGGGTATCGACACTACATCTTCCCAGCTCTGTTCAACCTTGGAGAGCGCGACCCACCTCCATACGTTTTACCTGGGCTCGGACGCACTCTGGGGCGTCGTCACACCGTCTTGTCTTTGGCGGCTGGCGACGGTTGCCTCGACAATTCCCGTTTGTTGGAGTTGGGTCACTTGATACTCCACTGAGACTTTCTGCTCGGTGCATGCAGGCACAGCAGCGTGCCGCTCAAGCAACCCTTTAACCTACCCGTCCCACTCGACGATCGTGCAACGTCCCGCGGCCTCGTGGAATCGCACGACCTTGAAAAATAGGGTGAGATCACTGTTTTCATTGCATGATCGGAGTGCGACGTCTAAGGCAGGTCTAAAAACTCATTGTTGTACTTGTTTTACCATCGTGTACCGTACTATGAACACAAATATGAAGTGATGTCCGCAGCGCTAGTTACTCAATATACAAGCATCACCGAAAGGCAAGTCATGGAAGCCGTCAGAGACGTCATAGGTTCATCAACGCCGTGTCCAATACTGCTACACCAAAAATAGCGAAAGCACCAGCAACCAAGAAAGCGAGAAAACACACATTGAAACAACAACAAATCGTCTACATCAGTCGTATCCAGCGGGGAACAGGGGTATCAGCGCGAGCGCGGCGGGGGAGGCGATGTCGATCTGCGGTGGAGGACGTCGTCCTTCGAGCGCACGTCCAGCGTCACCTGCAGGCTGTGATACCGCTGCAAGTCGAACGCCTCCGAGCGGCCGATCCCGCCCGCGTCGTTCGGCAGCCAGATGACAGGCGCCGGCGCGAGGAGCTCGGGAGCGTACAGCATGCCCGCCATCTCCTCCGCGTGGTCCGCGAACGGCAGCGGCGGCAGGTGCGGCGGCGCCTCCGGATTCGTGCGCGCGGCCCGCTCGGTGGCGGTCAGGTCGTCCAGGGTCTCAGTTTCTGTTGGGGGTGTCAGTGGGTGGCATGGAAGGGCATGGAGCACACGTGGGAACGCACCGAGCGGGACGGGCCCTCTTATTTGCGAGGGCGACGGCATGACGGCGAGCGTGAGGGACATCATCTCGAGGATGCTCGCGAACGAGCCGCGCATGCGCGTGTTGCGGCCCGAGCTCACGAGACTGGTGCTCTCCTCGTCGACCTCCCGCGGTGTGCTGGGTTTCGCCGCCTGCGCGAAGGTCCCGAGCGAGTCCTGCGCGACCACGCTCAGCGAGCGTTTGCCCGGCAGTCGCGTGCGCCACGCGCAGAACCCCTCGGCGACGAGCACGACGAGCAGCGCTGTGCCGCAGAGAATGCCACCCTCAATCCATAACTCGCGGCTGAGCAAGATAAGGCCGAGGATAAGTGGCTGAAACGCGAGCAGCGTGCCTAGACGCTTGATAAGCCAAAGCTGCAATACTCCACCCGTTTGCGAGCGCGTCTGTCCGTAGACGTAACCGATGAGAAAGCGATGTGCTGTAAAATGACAAGATTATAAGGTCATAACACTCCTAGAATGACCTTCAGAAACTCACCGATCAGAGTAAGAAGCAGAAGCAGAGCGGCAGCCGGAGCGACCAAGGGGAAAATGAGCGAGAACGTAGAAGCGAGCAGTACGGCCATCACACAAGTGGCTATCGCATACGTCGGGTTATAGATTCTAGGGTACACCGCTATAGCCGCAATCAATTATCTAATCGAGTCGCTGTTATGGGAGTGAGCTCACCTCTGAATCTCTGCCGAGGGGTCACAGCAGCCTGTTCCGCCCGTAAAACACGCACGAGATGATGGGGTTGTAGCGTGAGCAAGGCCGGAGCGATCACAGCAACGGTCAGAATTAGGGACATTGCAAATGCACTCATGTAAATAGCGCCGTTCGCCACCACAGGCGACGCTGGCACAGCTGTGCTGAAGGCTCCAAATGCGAACAGAAGGGCAGCTGCAGTGAAAAGCCAGATCCCTCCGACAACGACCAAAGTCCAGAATACGGTCTTGAACACTCCAAGTTGAAGCCCGGAAAGCGAGACCGAGTTTCTCAGCTGTGCTGTATCTAAAAAGAAGTCAATATGAGGATGAGAGAGTTGACTTTGAGGTACGCACGTTGCATGATCCATATTGCCACACTAACGAACAGTACAGTTGCAAACGCGGCCGCTAAAGATACGGCAACACCTGCCCCAAGGAAGTCGCCGGATGATAGTGGTAGGAAGAAGGGGAAGTAATGACCAAATTCGGGGGCTGTAGCAACCGAGAGACCGGCCACAGCAGTCACTATTGGTAATATTAGCTGGTACGCTTCCCACCCTTGAACACATGACAGAGGCTCACGGCATATACCCAACAAGACTGCGATAGTTATAGCTATTGTCCAGAAAGCCAGTGTTCTCGCCGGCCCGCCCTCGTTCTGCAATTCGTCCCACCGAATATCTTCCTTCGCTCGCCCTTCAATTAGCTGGATCCCGGGAATAAAGCGCAAGCCGCGGCCGACCATGAGCCACCCCCTGATCCTCGCGCCATCGGCGATATCCTTGTAGCACTCGCTCTGGACCTCGCTGATCTCGGTGTTGATCCCCTTCAGCTTCGCGCGCCACATGTTGATGTCCGCGTAGATGTGCCCCAGGTCGTCGTGGTCGAGGCCCGACAACGGGCGCACGAAGGGGCCGCGAGGCTGTACCCGCAGGTGCGGCGGCGGCTGCTCCTCGGGGGCGCCTTCGCCACGAATGCGCAGAGGGAATGTCTCGCGTCGATCTTCGCTGCCTTGCGCGGGCTTTGGTCGCGGAGGCCGGGGGCGGCGGCGCGGCGGCGTCGATTTGGGGTTGTACACTTCTGCGTTCTCAAGCGCCTCCGGGTCCTCGCTTAGAATGTCGACCCAATCCTCGCCGAGCTCGAGCTCCGGTTCCTCCTGAATGGAATCGCCGGGCTGGTGCGTCCACCACTGATGCGGCGGCAGGGGGTTCTCGTTGAATGCCGCCGTGTCCCAGGATGCGTGCGCGGCGCCCGTTCCATACGGTGCTGTGTCAGGCACGGGAGACTCGCTAAATGAAACGGCGCCGAGCTGTCCCTCGTGGTCTACCATGACTTGACTGCCAATAGGCAGATGACCGTAGTCATTAGTGCTGCGATTGACCTCTTGGAAGCGAGAGCCGATGACGCGCTGGTTAAACGACTCTGCCAGGCTTGGTCCTCGCTGCCTCGTGCTCGGTTCGGCTGCGAAGTCGTTGGACGCGAGCTGCCCTCCATTGACGCCCTCCAGTGCGCGTAACTTGTAGTACTGTGAAGGCATGACATACGATGTAGGCGGAAGAGAAGAAGATCCTAAAGCTGGATTTCTCCCACGATGTCTGCGTCGCTTCAGACGTCGTTAGCAAGACCGCATCACCCCATGAATGAACAACACAACTCACTGCTGCAGTGTTGCCAAGTGGAAGAGGGCGACTGATATGTGGCTTAGGGGGCACAGGCGGAGGGGTCTGGGAACGGGGGGTCGATCCAGATGGATAGAAGTCCACTACGGAGGGATCGGGAGTAGATAGCTTGAACGAGTTGATATATTTTGTCTCAGCTATCTCAAGCTGCTCCAGTATTCGATCGCGCTCGTCAATGAGAACTGCGAGATGAGCTGTATCTCTGATAAATGACCCCAATCAGGCTGGAATGCATGGAGCAAGGAATGTCAAGCGCACCCAATGGAGAATAAACTCTGCACATCAATCTCGAGCTGCGCCTTTTCCTCACTCCTCAAGTCCTGAGTCCTGCGCCGACGCGATCCGCCATTCCCATTCCCGCTGGTCTCGTTGCTCTCCAGCGAGGAGCTGAGACCTGACTTTATGATGAAATCCTTCAGGCGTTTTTCTCCCCAGCCAACGAAGCCGGGAGCCCGCCGAGCACTTAGCCATCCCATTTCCAGCTCTTGACATCGAATATTCAACCAGCGTTTGCGATACGCCACAAGTCGGTGGAATTCTCGTAAGATTAGATATAGTGCCGGAAGGACGCCGAGCACGATGGTGAACACGGTAAGAATGATAATTCGCGTCCTAGTGTTAGGAGCTTTGTCCGACCCATTGACAACTTCGCGCTTGTGAAGGGACGTGGCAAGGTCAGTTTGTGTCGTGATAGAGCCATTGTCTAGTAGTCGCAGGAGTCTGAGGAGACTCAAGTCCTGAAGTACCGAATACGCGCCAGTGAGCGTTGCAGGAGGCAGGGAATGCGCAAGGCATGGCGTATCGACCATGTATAGAGGAAGTAGGCCAGCGAGAGACAGAAGAGACCAGGCAAGGCTCATCCGGAGACATAGCCAGAGCGATCGTTGACTGAGCAATTCGTCCGATGGGAACAGCTCAGCATCTTGCGCGATGGATTTTCCGGCATCTGACACGTCTGACGGGACTGGTGGGATTAAGGGAATATGTGGGAACAGGAATGCCCAGAATGAGCGTCCAAGAGGTCTTGGGCGGAGGCTAATCCCGGTGAGCAGGTCCACAATGTTCAATGATTAGATTTGACGTACTCCTGATGAACAAACCACTCTCTTGTGGCGTAAACTTGACGATACCGTGGTCGTAAAATAGCGAATAGCAGCTAGTAGCATACATGAGTGCAACGTGCAAGAGCATATGAACGAGGACTCACCCAAAGCACTAAACCAATTACAGTTGGAACAGCTAATGTAGAAAGGAGTCCCAGTGATTGAGCATCTACCCCGTCTCCTATGCAGATAGGTTCGACCTGAAAGTCCGAAGACACGTTTTGGGAGGCGGGCAAGGCAGTGACCATTGACACTGTGGTGAATGTAGTCTGGCTAAAGGAACTAAAAATGGTATCGGATCCTGTCGACGTGACCAGGACAGAGGACGTAACAGTCGTTCCAAGAAAGTCGCTTTGGATGCTGCCGAAGTCGAAGGTCTCCGACCGTGCCGCAAATGGTCTCGAGGCAGCCCCGGTGGCTGGTATTGTCGAGGGAGGTATCGTTGGTGAACTAATGATCGGCGTCTCAGACAAGACTTCGCTGAAACAAAGGTTTGTAGTAGTCGTCGCGTCTGATGATGATGTCCACCAGAATTCATGAATCGAGTCGTTATTGGTATCCTGGGAACGTCGCGAGGATCGTGTGGGAGTTAAACGAGCGCTAGTACGCGTTGCTCTAGTCATGAAACCCCTGCGACGGGGAGGGTATACAAGGTTCGTGAGTCAAGACAAGATGAGAGATGGTGCAAAGCAAGAGACCGGCTCGGGCGAAGCGACGAACAAGGCTGAGAACTTTGGCCGGAACGCCCTCCACGCGCACACCACCTTCATCAGTTCGAACTCACCTGCCGCTTATGGCAGCAAATCCCGCTTTCCCACGCTTTCTGCTCGAAAGCGTTACGGCTTAGAGGGAATCGGTACGCACAACGCAAAGCATCGTCACTGCTTTTCAAGCAAGTAAAATGTAGGCTGGAACAGCGAGAGTCACACTAGGATAGAGTACAAGGCAGAGCGCCTCGAGGCATCCGGTAGCAGGGCCCTGGCATAGCAAAGCCGGTAAATGGCCGCGTTGGCATGCACGACAAGCGATTCTTGTCTGCCACGAGTCCAATGTGCAATGCAGGTGATCTTGCACTAGGCCATCATGAGTATGATGAAGAAGCAGCACCGGACGGAAGACATACGAAGCTTCCGTAATTATCGTTCGTCTGCTGGGACGATCACTATCTGACCGTCCTTCTCAGTCAGTAATGCATGAGGCTGGACCCATGGTGGAGCATTCTCCTCCATAGTAGGAGAAGGAGGTCCGCGACGCCCACGTGTGCGGTACCCCTTCAACCTTCCCACTGGACTTCTGGACGAGGGGTTCCCTGCATTCGGGGACTCAATAGCTCCGTCTCCAGCCAGCTGTACAGCGGCGTGTTTGCTTGGTATGCAGCCCATGAAGCTATTATGTGAATTTAGTTCTCAGAGGCGACCATGGTATAAGCTGACGCGACCTACGCGGAGAACAAAGGTGCCAAGAGGTAGGTGCTCATACTGAGTTCCCAAGCAAGCACTTTTATATATAGTGCATCGGCTCTTCATGATGTGAGTCGGAGCGAATCATCTGTTGCGAGGCAATGCGATCGATGCTACGGGTGCCTGCTGATGAGACGCAACAAGTGAGCAGTTGAGAGGATGGCGGCATTGACGGTACCTTGGAGACAGGCATTGGATGCTCGGAGACTAGTAGACAGCCCACGCAGCCCACTACAGAGCAAGGAAACACGCGCCACCAGGACGCGTCACGACTGATGCGTATTTCGCCCTGATTAGGCAGTTGCCCCACGTGTGAGACTCATGCCGACGCCTGTTCTCCGCTCTACGCAGTTGCGATAACCTCAATCCGTCCTTCTCTCTTACAACACACCTCAGTCTTGAGAGCGGTCATCCGTGTTAAGTGGCCCTGCAATGGCGAGCAGCGCCCTCAAGCAGGTGTGCACCTTCCTACGTGTTTAGTCCTTCGTTCATGACCGACCGTCTCGCACGCATAGGCTAGTGCCACGCCACCGACACTGCAGCAGGCACAGACGAATGCTTTGCTGACGCTCCTCAACCTCAATAACCCTATAGACCCGTCCTCTAATCCTCTATCTAGTATCACAAAAGCCAAATGCCTCGACCGCGAAACCAACCAGCCCGCCGGGACCTGTAGTATGGAAGGTATTGATTCTAGACCAGTATACCAAGGACATATTGGCGACCGTCCTTCGGGTGCAAGACCTCCGCGATGTTGGTGTGACTCTTCATGTGTGAGCTTGACTCCGTGCACTCTCGTACTGCCTCCGCTCATCCCCCGGTAGACAGCTGCACTCCTCCCGGCCACCGCTACCTGATGTCCCTGCGGTCTATTTCGTGTCTCCTACACTGGCGAATATCAAGCGCATAGCTTATGACTTGGAGAAGAACTTGTACGAGTCATTCCACCTCAACTTTGTCGAACCTCTTCCGAGAGCTCTCTTAGAAGAGCTCGCCGCCGCTGTCGCACGGGACGGAAGCGGTGAACTTGTGGAACAGGTCCGACACTATCTACTAGCAGATTGTTGCTGAAACTTATGCTCCCCTAGGTTCTTGACCAATACTTGTCTTTCATATCCCCATCGCCGTCACTGTTCTCCCTTCTTCCTCCACCCCACAGCCCATCACCTACGACGCCTGGCACCCCGGGCACGTCTACCGCTTCCCCAGAGACCCATTCGACATATTCCATCCTCAACTCACCGTCGTCTGCGGAGCAGCAGATCGAGTCAGAAATCGAGCGAGTGGCGACCGGGCTTTTCAGTGTAGTCGCGACAACGGGTACGTGCGTGGAAGCCTACATGAGAGTTGGCATGCTCAGACCACCCTAGGTCATGTTCCGATTATCCGCTGCCCACGAGGCAATGCGGCGGAGATGATTGCAAAGAAGCTGGAACAGAAGATTCGAGACGCTATCCTGTCTGCGTCGAGGTCACAGTCTGCCTCAATATTCTCACAAGATTCGACCGGCTTGTCAAATCTCCAGCGACCTCGTAAGCTTAAATTCGTCGGCGAAGACGCGCTTCTAACTCTTGTCCGCAGTTCTGCTCCTCCTCGACCGCAATATTGATTTGGTACCTATGCTCTCCCACGGCTGGACATATCAGGCCTTGGTATCGGATTGTCTGGACATGAAACTCAGCCGAGTGGTCATCTCTCAGCCTCAAAAGAAGTCCTATGACTTGGACTCCAAAGATTTCTTCTGGGCTAAGAACGCCGCTAATCCATTCCCTCAAGTCGCGGAAGATATTGATATCGAGCTGAACCGTTACAAGCAGGATGCCGCTGAGATCACACGTTCGACGGGCATCAGCGATGTGAACGACATCGCTCAAGTGTAGGTCATCTCTCCGTAGTGACGCCAGACAGCTGCTGAGCGGACGCGTAGCGACCTGTCAGCAAATGCAGCACATCTCAAGACTGCCATCACCGCTTTGCCAGAACTGACAGCACGCAAGGCGACACTCGATACCCACATGAACATCGCAACCTCTCTGCTTGAGGAAATCAAGAAACGTGGCTTGGATGAGCTATTCAGCATGGAGGAAGCAATCACGAAGCAGGTATATAAAGCCGTTCTCATCAATTTTTGGCTTCCGTTGAGCAATAGCTCTGTCTTGCAGAACGTGCAAATCATCCTTGAGACGCTTCGCCACCCCAAACCGGATGTCGTTCCAACCCCGGCGGACAAGCTCCGTTTGGTGCTCATCTTCTATCTCTCTTCTCCGGACAATGCTATCTCCAAGGAGGACGTCGCTGAGCTCGAGAAAGAGCTCAAGACCGCCGGTGCCGATACTGCTGCCTTCGAGTACGTGCGCCGAACGCGGGAGATCTCGCGCATGACCGTCCCCACGGCAGTCGGTGGCGCCTCCACGCCTGCCCTAGGCGGCACACCAGGCGGCGAGCTCTTCAAGGGCTTCAGCGCACTCGGGAACAGGCTCATCAAGGACCGCGGCCTCGACAATTTGATCAGCGGCGTGAAGAACTTCCTGCCTGCGAACAAGCTCCTGCCGGTCACGAGGCTCACGGAGGCACTGATGGACTCCTCCTCGGCGTCGAACCAGTCGTTGCAGGAGACGGACGACTACCTGTTCCTTGACCCCCGCGCCCCGAAGAACCCGAACGCAGGCTTAGGCATCTCGGGTGTCGGTCCCGGAGGTGCTGGCGGCGCAGCGAGCGGACGCTCGAAGCGCATGGCCTTCTCAGATGGTGTAGTGTTCATCGTGGGAGGTGCCGGATACGTTGAGTATGGGAACCTCGAGGAGTGGGCCCAGAGGACAGGCAAGAGGGTGACTTACGGTGGCACCGAAATTTTGGACCCTGGAGGATTTGTAAAAGTGCTTGAGAGTCTCGGGAAGGGATCTGCGTAGCTTTTACCTCCTCAACACGAGTTTCTGAATCATTGTTTCGTCTGAATTTTAGTCATGCTGGTATTTGAGTAACTGACAGCGTGCAAGTGTATTGAGCATGGATACAACGAGTGAGGGTAATTTACAGATGAAATGATGCCAACTCAAGACGCTTGGGTGAGATTACTTTCGCTTCTGCTGCATGGCCAGAATCTGCACCAGGCGAATGCTGTTACGGGGCTGGTCAGATATGACGTCCTTACCGACGAACGGTGATAATTAACACTTACAAGATGTTAATCATGTCCAACTCGAGGCTGAGAGACTCCTTGACCGGGTCAGCCTTGATGACACCACGTTCCGCAAGGCGGGCATTTTGGAGGATCTTCTGGGTGCTGTTGAAGATGCGTGAATACGAGAAGCCTACGACGAAATGAATTCGACTTACTCATAGAGCACAAAACCGCCGAACACAGCCAAACCACCGTAGAGCGAGATGGACTCGGTCACGGCAAGACCGCGAAGCCCGAGCGGAAGAACCATGGGCGCCAGGGAGCTCAGAGCAACAACGGTGACACCAGCCAAGAGTGGGCCACCCCAGTAGAGGTACTTGTCGTTCCTGCCGAAGATGTCAAGTCGGCACAGTGTAGAGGTTCTGACTCGCTTACTTGGCAGTCGCACCGACGTAACTTAGAGAACCGACAACACCGCAAGTGTAGATAGCGGCACGAGAAAGGATGGCAGGACTAAGGAAGAACAGTGGGCTCAGGGTAGCCGCCTGGAAGCCGTTGAAGGCCAGCCAACATGCGTGCTTGAGGATGGTATTCTCTGGCGGTGTCATCATAGTACCCATCATCGCTCCAATAGACCCGACCAGGCTAACGCCAAGGACAACCCACGGGTTGGCAGACATGATTCGGAAAGCGGCCCCGGACCTGAACAGGGAGCGGGCACCAAGGGCAGTCGCGACCAGACCACCGCCAGTGTACATGAAGGTCTGGTGGAGATATGACCGCTCGCCGGGAGTCAGGGAGTCGCGAGTCTCACGATTGAAGAAACCATTGACGACTACGAGGGTTCCTGCGACTGCACCCTATTGGCAAAGCATGAATTCCGCATACAAGCTTAGAGCAACGGGAGACGTACAGCTGTAATCGCGAACCGCTTCCATCCTTCAGTCTGGTTTGGCCGAGTAACGACGGGGGAGGAGTCCGTCATAAATGTCCTCGAGGACTTGAACGAGGTGAAGAAATTCGAAGAAACCCTTTGTGAAGGTCTGAGCAGGTTCTGCCTCAGTGTGGTGAAGCTTCGCATGGTGCCCATTGGAGGAGCATGGACATTGCGGGCCAGCGAAGCCGCAAGTGGGAGAGGCCGAATGAACTGAATACCTATCCGCAACATGTCTGCGAGGTCGAGATGGTGGTTGAGAGTTAAGGTCGGGCTCGCCTCGGACAGTAATAGCGATAGTGCTGGGCGCTTACGCGTCGGCACAAGCGCATGCGTCATATGGGCGGCACTGCACGGTGCGCGAAAAAGCTCGGGTGAAGTGTGACATATGTGATAACGTCGCCTGGAGGTGCCGGGACAGATCATAGTGCAGCACAAGAAATACAGTACGATTAATACAATGTAGGAAGTCAGCAGGTCCTAATTACTGCGTCCTCAGAGCAGGGATCTGGGAAACGTCCACGACGCCGACTAGTCCTGTCTCGAGACCTAGTGCTATACGGCTGAGGTTCTCGGATTGCTGCCAATCAATCTCAAAGATAGCTGTCCGCTCTGTAGTGGCGCGCCATGACCACTTGACCTCGCGTGACTAGACAACGACGGTTGTAAATAAGAAAGTGAAAGTTACAGCAGTCTTTGTCTCACCTTGACGTCGTACACGCGTAGATAGCCATCTGCGCCGGCGGTTGCGAACAGCCGCGAGTCAGGACTGAAGGCGATGGTGTATATGGACGCTGCGTGGTCACTGAACACCCTTAAGCATTCACCCGTACTTGAATTCCATAGCCTGGAGGTCCCGTCAAGCGATGACCTAGCGAGACTGAGTCGGCACAACAAACCCTACTGATCATGTGGAGGAACGTACGTGGCAAGAAGGTCATAGTCTGATGTTTGGTCCCACGGGCACCACGTAATGCTGTTGACAGTGGAAGAGTGCCCGGCAAGGGTGACGGCTTCATTGTTAGAAGCTCGGCCGAGCTTGACATCCCCAACTTCCCATATACGCACAGTACCATCGTCCGAGCAAGACGCGAGCAATGTCCGACGTGAATTGCATTTTATTTGGTTGACTTCGTCCGAGTGACCGCTTGACTCGTACTCAGCTATCTCCCTATCGCATCGCAGTCAGAAAACGCTTACCTCAGGGTCTCGATAGGGCTGTCGGTATCAAGCCTCACAACATGGATTTTAGAATCTACACCACAGCTGACGAAGATGTCGTTAGACAACCATTCAATGTCAAGACAACAACCTAAACACCAATTAATCATATATCCTTTACTATCATGACCGTGACGATCACTCACGCTCGTGATGTCGATATTGTTTGTATAGGGTCTTCTTTGGAACATCCCATGCACATACGGACCCGTCGATACTTGCAGTAAGAACATATTGACCGGACGGTGAAAACTTCGTTGCAAATACTGGCCCCTTCTCCACCAACGAATTCAGTACTACTATAAGAATTGGCGTGAAGCATATAACTACCTTCTGCATGCTCTCCGCAAAGTAGAGTTGACCGGAAGAGTCACATATTCTGAGGTACGTGTCGTAGGAGCCCGCTGCCAACAGCTTGCCATCTGGGCTCCAGTCCAAAGACGTCAGGTCGCCCTGGTCCGCGTCAACCCGGTGAGTAAATGTTAGCGGTGGGTCGGAAGTAGGTGCTGGGTCGTTGAAAGAAGGCTCGTGAAGGCGCCAAATATTTACTACTGTGTCTTTTGATCTAATGAGAGCGTAAATAAGTCGTTGAATGAATCGTTGAATGAAGGCGTACCCCGTGCCTAGGATGTTCTTGCTTGAAGGGTTCCACGCACAGACAAAGACCTGCGAAGAACTTAAGTGATGAACGACGAGAAAGATACTTTGCCCTATTACCTCGGAGGTGTGCCCTTTGAGCATTCCAATAGCGGTGTCATCTCGTGACACAAGGCGCGTTTCGGTCTCAACCTTACTTGACGAGGGTGTCGGAACTTCGGTAGCTTCAGGGAGGGATTGTGCTCGGCTGTCTGCAGGTAGCTCTTTGAAGAGTAAGCCAAGTGAAAGTGCGTAAGAAAACTCTTACAGGAGAAAGGTCAAACTACAACCAAATTCAACGTACGTTCGGTTGAGGTGGTCACGCTGTCAACTTCCATCTCCTCCGTTCGTGCCCGCTTCTCCTTCGGAACCTCTTCACTGGCTGGTGGCGTGCTCGCCTTTCTTTTCTCCGACGTGCCGTTGGTCACGGGAGGGGCAACTTCAGGAGGTGGTGGAGGCGGTGGTTGGAATGTGACTGTTGAGGGAAGAGTGGGATCCAGGGAACAGGCATGTCGGTCTAGGATGGAGAATGGCGCCTTGCAGTTATTCGTCATCGCGTTCCCCCTCCAGTGCGCTTCGGCCTCCGAGTACAGCAGCGCTTTGCTGAGCAGTTCCACGAGTTCACCACGGGGAACGTGCTTGCCAAAGTGCTCAGACTTTTCAAGATGGCCTTCTGCACGCAGGACGAAGGCACTGTGGACGAAGCCTGCAGGTCAAGACTTCAGTTGTATAGCATATAGCCACCCGTTGGATTTTGTAGACGCACCTGAATCCTGAAAGTATGCATGAATGAGGCAGTTGACCTCATCGGCTGTTATCAAAAACGGCCTTGTTGCTGTCATTGTGCGTGATCACGAATAGAAGGAAGGGCAGGAAGACATGAATATGAGGGAAGGTCGAAAGTTGGTTCGCAAAGAGCGAGCGTTGTGGCAAGACTGTGGCTGCGATGTGGCGGAATGCGTCTCCGTCTCAAACTTGGCTCCTCCGACTGCACAGATAAGATAAGCGTTGCTGTAATTGATGATTTCTTATCTTCCGGAACGGCAAGCCTTCGTCATGGGTGCCGAATGATTACTCCTACTGCCGCCGGCTTTCTCAGCACATGAATCGAGGATGAATCTGTCCCGGATGAAACCCCGTCGGCTTTCCTCCAATCCGCCAACTGCTCACACGTCGTTTCGGTGAATAATGTCTGGCATATTTTTCTCCGGCTTCGGCGCCGACGACGAGCAGCCTGTGGCGCTCTCGTACAATGCCATCCTCACTGGTATGCCAAGGAGCATATACTGGAAGGGACCGTGTATTGATACTAGCTCGGTCTGAACAGCTATGCTCGAAATCCGGCAGCGAGCTGCGGCCCGTACCAGCCAAGGAACTTCCGCACGAGACGAGCAGGAAGGCCAGGGGGCCGGTCAAGAGGCTATGAATCTAGACGGGGACCATGACATCAACCGCATTCTCGCTGAGCTTATTCGAGATGGGACCATGACTGTGGAGGAAGATGACGGTGATCAAGACTACGTGGACGTGGATGAAGGTGAGGAAGGTGAAGAGGACGACGAGATAGAGATAGAAGAGGACGAGGAAGAGGACGAAGAAGGCGACGGCCCCCCAGGTTATCGTATTGTCCAAAGTCATCCACCGCCGTTACCTCGATCCCACTGGAAGAAGGAAGTGACAGAGCCGAAACAAGCGGGGCTTAACCTGCTCTACAGCGGAGAGTTTGGTAGGATTCATCATCAGATACGCTCGCGAAACAAAGCAGGAAACGCTGCAAAGTTCCTGCTTAGCCGGAGCTCGACAATTCGACCACCTCCGCGGGAGGACTTTGCGACGGTGCGTAAACCGCCGCATCTCCGTTAGCATCCCCTGAAGGGAGAGATAGGATATCATACCGAATACAGATGGTACTGCTGTGGCTAGCTATTATGCGAACGCCTATGTTGGTCAATACTCCTCAGGCTAGTGTATGCTCTTTCGTAATACTCAGCGCATGCTGATTTCGCTCCTCATAGACTCTTCATTTTACTACACGTGTGTCAGAGGTGATGCATCTCATCTACGACTGTCTCTTTTTACCTATTATGCCATCCAGATTTCCGATTGCATGTGTATGATACAACTGCTCCCATCGTGCCGAGGAGCCCCACCGCTCGCGCCTCGCAACGATTGCGAGGCGGGCTATTCGCACACGATCATGATTCATGCATGAAGGTGATTAAGACCATTCAAGCGCAGCCTGGAGGGTGGACAATCACGGATTCTCATCTGAGTCCGGACAACCAAAGAATGATATATGCGTCTGTGGTACGTGCATGTGATCCATATTGGGGCGGGTCTGTCAATGAATAGGCTTGTATAGTCCAATGTGGTCTACATGGCGTCAACCCTGGACGCATCCGCTGTGCAGGTACCCATCAACTTCGCAGACCCTCCGCGCCCAGACGGTCGTTATGGATATGAGGATCATTATGGTGTCTGGAGTTGCAAGTTTTCTGCCGATGGCAATGAAGTCATAGCCGGGGGCACTGAAATGGTCTTTGGTGGGTCATGCTCCTCTCCTTTCTGCGCCCCATGATTGTTTCTGATGACACGAACCTGTAGTATATGACCTATTGGCGGAAAAGCGAACGGTGAAGATCAAAGCTCATGAGGACGACATCAATAGCTGTTGCTGGGCAGATACTGCGTCCGGTAACGTTCTTGTGAGCGCCTCCGACGACACTTTCCTCAAAGTCTGGTAAGCAATCTGCATTGTCTGCGTGGCTCGATTCTGTCTAATATTTGCGCAAATTTGCGCAGGGACCGTCGGTCTCTGGGCTCGTCACCAAAGCCTTCTGGCGTTCTTATTGGACACACGGAAGGCATAACGTACGTTTCTGCCAAGGGCGATGGCCGTTATGTTATCTCGAACGGCAAGGATCAAGCGCTGCGGCTCTGGGATCTCCGCAAGATGCGTACCAACCTGGAGTTTGAGCAAGTGAAGGGGGGCCACTATGGCATACCCAACTTTGACTATCGGTGGGTCGATACCGTCACGCAACGTTTTCGAGGTGCGGTACTCATATTCTCCTCATAGTCGCGCCACGTATCCTAAAGCGAGATACAAAGCGCACCCGATGGACTGCAGCGTCATGCAATACACGGGCCACGAAGTCCTCCGGACCCTCATTCGTTGTCACTTCAGCCCTGCGGAGACGACCGGCCAGCAGTACATCTACTCTGGCGGCGCAGACGGGCGCATTCACGTGCGTGTGTATAGCTCTCAGCAACTTTGCAGCTCACAGTATCTGCGTAGATTTGGTCACTTGACGGGCAAGTCGTACAAGTCTTGGATCGCGCCGGGACACTGCCCATGTCGTTCCATCCGTCAGAACCGCAAACGGTCTCACAGCGGCAAGCTCATCGCAGAGTCTGTGTGCGAGACGTCAGCTGGCACTCTCAGGCACGTACCTTTTGCGTTACGACTGAAATGATATTGATCCTTGGTTCGTAGCAACCCATCCTGATGAGTGCAGGATGGCTAGGCGGAGGCTGGGGTACCAATGAATCCAGTGTTATCGCCCGACACGAATGGAAGGGCCTTTCGAAGATGCACTATTCGCTCGAAGACTACGTTGAAAAACAGAAGTCGGAGCGGACGGAGCGTACCCAGCGACGTAGTGCAGCACGGGCCATGCCCGGCTCATTCCGTATCGAGACAGATGACGAAGAATAACATGGATAAGTTCTTTGATCGACGTACAGTCTCGTGCCTGTATCAGTAGCAGTAGACCCGACTGTTGTATAGTATCTTCGAGACATCCGTTCACTACGCTGCGCCGACTGCGGAGCAAACTGCGTTATTCAGTAGATGTCGAGCACGACGTCCCCTGCGGGCTCTTGATGTCTTGCTCAGCTGCGCCGCAGATAATAGCCACCAGGCGGTGCTACACTATAAAACATAGGACAATCAGTCCACTAAACAGCAGGGGCGGTGTAGTACTTGGATCCCTCCTGTCATTCCACGGCGCCTTGCAAGGCTTATAGCATGCATCTCAGCCCGATAGAGACTGCCCTCAACATGCAGCTCCCCCCGATGAGCGACGCTGACCTGCGGACGTACGGCTTCCCCCCGGGATACTTTATCATCAAGAATGTAGCTACAGGCAGACTGCTGGACGTAGAGTCTGACCTGATTGAAGATGGCACGCCGCTCATACTGTGGCCCGAGACAGAGACGTCTCTCGTGGAAGGTAAGCGCACGTTCTGAACGTAGGATGAAACATCATTGCTAAGTTAGGCTTTGTACGTATAGACATGCGGAAGCCTGAAAGTAACAATCAGGTATGAGCCACCTGACGGTGTGGGACGTGTTGCACGGCCTGACGGGTCGGCACCAGGTGTTCTTCATCGATACCTCTGGCGCCCTATGTTCGAGGTCGTCCGGGCATGCGATCGATGTTGAGAGTGCGTTTCTGTTTATGCTTGCATCGGAGACTCGGCTGACCCTGGTGGGGTGGCACTCGAAGGCGACCGCCCAGTGTTGCGCCACCGTCGTCCTGTGTCACACCCGTTCCCAAACGCATATTCTCATCCACCACCCCGCTTCTCATATGACCCGGCGACACAGCTTATCACAGTCGCATTCGTGTTCGATCCGAGCTACCCATCCTCTGGGGACCGCGAAGCGGCGTTGAGCATCTGGAGGGACAAAACGTACCTGCTGACCTCCATCCCTCTGCGCAAGCCCCGCACACTGATAGATGACGCGTCTGAGCTACTCACAAGTGCTCTTTCTGTGCCGTTCTCGCTCTTCGGGCACACGGCGCCGACCAGTCCCCGTCCAGACCAGGTGTTCGACAGCGGCGACATCGACCTGCGCGAGGACGAGATTCTGGAGCAGGAGCGGTCCGAGGAGGGCGAGGTGGATGACTCGCCCGAGAAATGGCGTCAGGTACGCGTAATCGGGATTGCAAAGGAAGACGGGCAGATTGCGGGTGAGGAGGCGAAGAAGAGGCGGCAGTGGATAGTTGTTCCGTTGCGTGCGCACAAGACTCGCACTGCAGCTTCAGTCGAAATTGCGCGGTGATAATAGTATGCACAACCACGAGCTGGCATGTGCGCGTGTGTGGCGTATGCAATTGTTGGATGTGGTCGCACTCAAAAGCCTCTGTGAAGTGGGTGGGTGCACCGGCACCCAAAACTGGCAGACCAGTACGTATGGGCGCGCCATCCATCGTGTCCACAGCGCTCCGTTCTTCTTCTGCGCAATCTCCATGTGTTTGCACAGGCAAGTCACTGATAGTGCCACTGGCACTCCTCAAATACACCAGACGCTATCCGTTTTGTACCAGAACCACTCCCGCGATGCTACCCTACTGGATTCTTCCCGTCCTTCCCTTAGCGCAGCTGGCCAGCGTGCACGCGACTCACCAGCAAGCCCAGCATCCACTCAGCGGCTCGGACTTGCCGCCAGCCGTCGGGGGTCAGACCTGGCTAGAGAAGTACGGGCCACTGATCGACCAGCCATTTTCAGGCCTACTCTCGTTCTCTCATCTCCCGTACTATGCTCGCTGTATCGAGGATGACTCGATGGATCTCGACATCGCACTGCTCGGAATGCCGTTCGACACAGGAGTGAGTTACCGTCCAGGAGCTCGCTTTGGTCCCCATGCCATCCGGTCAGGCAGCCGTAGGCAGAAAGAGACTCGAGGATACACCCTTGGATGGGGTATCAATCCTTACACCCTCGGCTACAAGATTGTGGATTGCGGCGACGTTAGTGTTTCTCCCTTAGCCTGACTGCCTGCGCTCGCTGAGTAGCAAATACGCAGGTTCCTGTGTCACCTTTTGACAATGCACTTGCCGTTGACCAAATGGAAGTTGCCTACTCGACGCTGCTTGCTCGTCCTGTGACACATGCAGACGATCCCGTGCATGGGATTACTTCCGCATTTGCAAAGGACGGGAAAGAACATCCCCGGATCGTAACGTGAATTAGACTCGCTCTTAGCTGCAATGCTGAAGACACTGACATGCACCCCGAACAGCATGGGCGGTGACCACACCATCGTTCTCCCCATCCTTCGCGCCTTGAACAAGGTCTACGGGCCAGTGTCCGTCATCCACTTCGATTCGCACCTTGATACCTTTCCAGCCTATCCCGGCCAGTCTACCGAACAGGCGCGAGTCACTCACGGGACCTTTTTCTTCCTCGCGCACGAAGAAGGCCTCATGACTAACACCAGCGTGCATGCTGGGATTCGGGGCAAGCTCACGGTATGCAGCGTGGCTTCAATGAACGATGCATGTAACTGATTGCGCACTTTTGCAGGGCACAGGCGATTTGGAGAACGACGATACCGCCGGCTTTACGATTATTTCTACTGATGATATCGACGACTACGGTGTGAACGAGATTATCAAGCGTATTCGCGAGCGTGTCGGCAACAGCCCAGTTTATCTCAGGTATCTTTACCCCACATGAGCTTGCCGTCGAGATGGTCTGACTACGAAATGTCGCAGTCTCGATATCGACGTTATCGGTGAGCAGCACAATCTATCTTCTATCTCTTCGTACCTGATGCTTCTCACAGACCCTGGCCTCGCCCCAGCCAGTAAGTGCTAGCTCCCGTGCTTCCCCGCCGCCCACTGACAGCGCGCCAGCCGGAACTCCAGAAGCAGGAGGCTGGACGACCCGCGAGGTGAAACGCATTATCCGCGGCCTTGCAGGCCTGAACTTCGTGTACGTGTCCGTGTCTCTTCCGCCGCGTCCAGACGCGCTCACGCGATGCCCTGCAGAGGAGCCGATATCGTCGAGGTGGCCCCGGCTTATGATCATGGTACGGCTTCCATTTTGCTCGCTGACCCTGCGCGACTGACGGTCTCACAGCTGAGATCACCGGCCTCGCCGCGGCGGACCTAGTGCACGACTTCTTGTCGATGTTCCTCAGTCAGGGACCGCCCAAACAACAGCCTACATGGGCCCCTGCAAAAGATGAACTATAGCTAAACTCAATGTCATTATAGTCGACGTAAAACCAAAATTGAAGAATAATGTTACTAAGTCGTTACTGAGAAAGTCCATGGAAACTCATCGCGAGTATCAAATATACGTAACTTACATAAGCGTATACGATGCGTCTCCAAAGACGGGAAGGCAAACATAAGGCGAAGAGAGAGCAATAAAGAAGTTACTGCACGTGGAGTGTCCGTTAGCGTTTCGAGTCGTACTGCCCTGCTGGCTGTGCCGTCGCAATGTCGTACACCGGAGGCTGGTCGTCGTATGCCGGTGACCGCGGCGGCACGCTGGGCGACCTGGTCGTTCGCGGGCCGTGGGAATTGGTCGCTGAAGTGGGGCTAGTAGCTGCGGCGATGTTTGTGTCGATATGGGACGGAGACGGCGTCAGCAGCGGGGAATACGGCGATGTCATGTGGCTAGAGCCAGAGTGACGCGCATAGAACGCGACATCTGCGTAAGGATTCTGCGCGCTTAATCCTCCCGAGGCATCATAGCCCTCGCCACCGAGTGTGTAACCCCGCTCTGGAGTGAACTGCTGCTGTTGCGTTGTGGGGAAGTATGGCTGTTGCGTAGGTGTCGACTGCACGTATGTGGGATTGAGAGCGTACGGGTCGGCATACTGGGCGGAAGAGCTAGGTATAGCCAGATGCCCAGTAGCATTGTAAGAATCCGCGTTGAAGCTCTGCGCAGAGTAATCCGTGGCGTATTGCTGGTGGGGTGTTGTAGAGTTGTCTGGAGTGCATGTTCAGCTGGGGCTGATCGGCACGCGATCGTGTACTCACATGTTGCACCACGGGCTTCGTGACCGTACGCCTGCTGCGAGGCGGCAGAAGGATATTGGCTGTGGCCATACGTGGGTCCTGGCATGAGGTACGCAGCGCTAGTTGCGTTATTTGCGGGGGGCGGTGGAGGGATCGTGGGCACAGGAGGTACAGGAGGACTGGCGGGATGATACGAAAATTGTGAATAGGCCGAAGAAGACTGTGTGTGAGCACTTGTTTGGCGACGAGGCTGCGGCGGATAAGCATTGGGCTGGCTTGGCGGCGCGTTGTAGTAGTCGTCCATAGCGCGGCTGCCTGGAGGTGCTTGAGAATATCCACCAGTGTGCTGCCTTGCCGGCGGCGAAGCACCAGTCCTATTATAGGCCGCCATGCCAGCACCAACGCCAGCATCACCGGCTGGCGGGCTCTGCTGGTTAGGACGGTAGGGAAGGATCTGATCACCGTCGTCGATGAACTCCTCAGAATTCGCAGTAAGAGGTTTCGTCTGATCATGCTCCTGGAAGGCGGGAAGACCGACTTCTTGCCTCTGCTGCCTGGCTTTCCTGTCCGCTTCAGCTTTGATGGCATCCAGCCGCATCTGCTCTGCATATCCATTGTCGACGCTAGTCTTGCGCTTCTCCAAATCGCGAGGCCGTCTCCGGATACAGCATCGTCCGAAACCGAAGAAACAGCTCGCGAAGAAGAGCAGTAACCATGCCGCGAGCGTCATCCATATCGCGGTCCCTGTGATGGCTGATCCTCCCTGTACCGAGTCGATACGCGACTTGGCGATGAAGAAGAGGGCAATGTCAAAGATAAAGGCAACGAAGGTGACGACGGCGGCAAAGCCGGAAATGCAAGTACTGAAGCAGGTCATAGAGAATTCACGGACATGGGCGAGGAGACCGAAGAAGGCGGATATTGCAGCGAGGATGAGCCCAACGATGTGGAGTACAAGGGCGTAGGTTATCCACTTGACAACCACTTGCGGTATCTGTATTGAGGATTCGTTGCCCACCAAAGCATTGATATCTAGTGGTGCAAGATATGAGGAGAGATTGAAACGGCCATAGGACACCGCGGCATACCAAGTTCGTAGCCGACGTGAGGTTTTGAGCACGTCGTTCCATTAGGGAGCTCGAGACAATAGCCTAAGGTGCCAAAAGTGACTGAGCCATTGATTCCCTGGTCTGCGAGCGACGCTTTGAGGAAGAAAATGGACTTGAAATATGGCACGGAGAAGGAAACGATCGCCAGGAGAATGGTGGCTACGAGGGTGACCAAAAAACCCGGGGTGGCGGGGCGTAGGATGCTCATGAAAACGGCAGTGTCACTGAGACCAGCAGGACAAGGAAGGATTCAAGCAAAGGTATGATGGCGTCGCCTCTTTTCAATCATATCTTGGCGAACAGGCTCAGAGCGGTGGCTGTGCGCCGTCTTCTGTCACGCATTGTCACCCGCGCCCCGTCACGCATGCACGGCGGCTAACCGCGCTGCGCAGAACCTCAGTGCAGTGCACCGAAACATTGCCCCCGCGCAACAAAAGCGAAGGGAACGTTCTAATGAGCTCGGGTATGTGCAACAGTGTTCTGTTTATTGGGGATATATCTGGTGTGGAAACCATGCAAACAAAGAGAGAGTCGTGGAAAGTCACGAAGCGCGTCCGAGATTGTCCTGCGGTGCCGTCCTGCGCGGTGCCACACACAAACGAGATTTCAAGCAGCCCTACCGAGCACAGGATCATAAGGAGATAGACGGGTGAGTCAGATGTATGGAGCACGGCAAAGACGGGTCTCGGGTGGGTGCCGAATCGCCCACTTTAAACACCCTACTACTGTAGCTTCCGCTCAGCAACTGTCGCTAGTTCTGACGTCCTGAGTCATGTCGCCGACAAAAGATCGACAGACACGTGCCCATATTATTTTCGAACGGGGATAGAGACTCGAGAGTCACGGCGGAGCAGCCACGTGCGGGGCCGAATCGTGCTACTACCAAGTGCATATAAGCCTGCCCTAAATTTGATCGATAAGCTATCCTTGATTCTTGAAAAACTTCGACTTGACCCCTCCGCAAGAGCTTGCAGCCTGCGTGCTCTGCTGCGACTCTATCTCGTCTTTTTTCTCTCGAGACCAATCTCTGCAGCGAGCTTGTTGTCTCAGCACACAAACCCACTGTATCATTACCCCTGTAAAATCTAGCCACTATGGTGTAAGTACACTGCTCAGTCGAAGCGTGGTCAGGTACTGATATGCAATCCCCTGCTCAGAAACTTCACTGTAGGCAAGTCGTGCGGTTGCTTAGCCATACAAATTGATTCTTACCTTGCAATATAGATCAGATCCGTGCCCTCATGGACAAGCCCACTAACATTCGTAATATGAGTGTTATTGCCCATGGTGCGTTCTTACCTCCTTTCACCCTTTCTGCTCGATTAATGAGAGGGGGATTTTTCAGTCGATCACGGAAAGTCCACCCTTACCGATTCCCTGGTCTCCAAGGCTGGTATCATCGCTTCCGCGAAGGCGGGAGACATGCGGTTTACGGATACACGCGAGGACGAAAAAGAACGCGGTATTACCATCAAGTCTACGGCTATCTCGATGTACTTCGAGGTCAACAAGGAGGATGTTGGCGCTATCAAGCAGAAGACCGAAGGTTAGCATAACTTGGTCATTGTCGGCCGTACAGTCTGCTAATCATGTTGCGTTTAGGCAACGAGTTCTTGATCAACCTGATCGATTCTCCTGGTCACGTCGATTTCTCATCCGAAGTCACTGCTGCTCTCCGTGTCACCGATGGTGCTCTCGTCGTTGTCGACTGTGTTGAGGGTGTCTGCGTTCAGACCGAGACTGTACTTCGTCAGGCCCTCACCGAGCGTATTAAGCCTGTTGTCATCATCAACAAGGTCGACCGTGCTTTGCTTGAGCTCCAGGTCGAAAAGGAGGAGCTCTTCCAGTCTTTCCGCCGTACCATCGAGACTGTTAACGTCATCATCTCTACCTACCACGATGTCGCTCTCGGTGATGTCCAGGTTTACCCCGACAAGGGTACCGTTGCCTTCGGTTCCGGTCTTCACGGATGGGCTTTCACTCTCCGTCAGTTCGCCACTCGCTACGCCAAGAAGTTTGGTGTCGACCAGGAGAAGATGATGGGCAAGCTCTGGGGCGACAATTTCTTCAACCCCGCTACCCGCAAGTGGTCAACTAAGTCTGCCGATGCTGACGGCAAGCCTCTCGACCGCGCTTTCAACATGTTCGTCCTCGACCCGATCTTCAAGATCTTCGATGCCGTCATGAACTTCAAGAAAGATGCCATTCCCCCCATGCTCGAGAAGCTCGATATCAAACTCGCACAGGATGAGCGTGACCTTGAGGGTAAAGCTCTCCTCAAGGTCGTCATGCGCAAGTTCTTGCCCGCTGGTGACTCTCTCCTGGAGATGATTGTCATCAATCTCCCCTCCCCCGCGACCGCTCAGCGCTATCGTGTTGAGACTCTCTACGAGGGTCCCATGGACGACGAAACCGCCATCGGTATCCGCGACTGTGACCCTAACGGCCCTCTCTGCCTCTACGTCTCCAAGATGGTACCCACCTCCGACAAGGGTCGCTTCTACGCCTTCGGTCGTGTCTTCTCGGGTACTGTCCGTGCTGGCCCTAAGATCCGTATTCAGGGCCCTAACTATGTCCCTGGCAAGAAGGACGATCTGTTCATCAAGTCCATCCAGCGCACGATTCTCATGATGGGTCGTTACGTTGAGCCCATTGAGGACTGCCCTTCCGGCAACATCGTCGGTCTCGTCGGTATCGACCAGTTCCTGCTCAAGAGTGGTACCCTCACCTCCTTGGAGACCGCCCACAACATGAAGGTTATGAGGTTCTCCGTCTCCCCCGTCGTTCAGGTCGCCGTCGAGGTCAAGAACGCTGCTGATCTCCCCAAGCTCGTTGAGGGTCTCAAGCGTCTTTCCAAGTCTGACCCTTGCGTCCAGGCTTGGATTTCAGAGTCTGGCGAACACATCGTCGCTGGTGCTGGTGAGCTCCACTTGGAGATTTGCTTGAAGGTTGGTCTGGTTTATCTTGTCGGCACGCTTACAGTGCATTAATTTCGCGCCGTAGGATCTTCAAGAGGACCACGCTGGTGTCCCCCTCAAGATTTCTGACCCCGTCGTCCCTTACCGTGAGACCGTCAGGGCCGAGTCCTCCATTGTTGCTCTGTCGAAATCGCAGAACAAGCACAACCGTCTCTACCTCAAGGCCTTGCCTATCGAGGAGGAGCTTACCCTCGCCATTGAGTCTGGGCAAGATCA